CCTCAGCGACCAGCACGGATCAGCTCCAGGCATGACGAAGCAGCTATCGTCCTCTTTTGGAAGGCCAAACAAAGTAGTTTTGCTTTCACAACGAAACACACAGCGCCTTCACGACATGGCGGCGGCAGCAACAATACTACAGCGAGAATAAAAGTTACGCCTTCTTTCTTTGCGTGAACATTTGGGTGGCATTATGCAAATTTTCCCACATCGTGACGTAGACATGTGGGGGCGTGTTAGAACGAGCCGTTTTAGGTAGGCGTGGCTGACTCTTAACTTTTATAAAGAATATCTCTTTGGATTTGAGACTTTAGTCTTTGCAACTTTACAGATCTTCTTTATGCACCAAGAGCTTGTAACACTCCAAAGAGAAAGAAAAAATAGAAATCGCGTCATATGACCTCTTTAAGTACTTAAGTGGAATTCGGTTCCCAGCACTCTAAACTTTCTGTCAACAGGAAATTGTCTATCTGCATGGTCTGAACGGCATCGCGACCACCCAGGATCATTTATCTGTTGTGCTGTTGTGGTTTTCTGACAGTCACAATGGCAGATGAGAATAGTTGGCCATGCATACATTTAGGTGTGAAATAATGAAGGTGAAACAGCCCAGCCCAAAGAGATTAAATAAACTAGAATAAAGGTTAAATCAATTAAAAAAACAAATCAATCAGTCAGTCAATTGATCTTTTAAACCTTGAAAACTACTTCACTACATTGAGGTAAGTAACTTAATTAATGATAAACAAGTAGTAGGCTTTTTTTTTTTTACCCAAGTAGTAAATACTTCAAGAAATTCCATTTCTGGAATTCAATTTCTGTTCACTATTCTAATAGTATTTTATCATAAAAACTGAGCATAACCCCCGAACATTAAAATCAGCTCAGTGTTTATTCCAGTCGTGGGAGACTGGCACACAGCTGAAGGGTGGGAATGGTAATCAATGTGGAGTCAGGGCATCAAGATGATCCAAGTGGCGCCAGATGAGAAGATAGTAACCTCTTGTTCGGATGTCTCTGAATGGGTCAAGCACCTTCTGATGAACCGTCATTGGCTGCATTATACTAGCCTCAGCTTTTCTCTTTTCTTTGTTGGCTGACAGAGGCGTAATGCCAAATGCACAACTTTTAATAAAATGTAATATAGTATGTATAATAAATGAAAGAAAATAATATATTTTTCTGTTTATTGAGATAATGTAGATGTCCCTTAAGTAAAAGGTGAGTAAAAGGTGGTGGTGTTGTGTAAAAAAACAATATAAAACAAAAATAATTGGTTAGCATAATTTACATGCATATATATTTAATAAGTAGTCTGACCAGCATGCTTTATCTCAGCTAACAAAGATGTGGTTTAGAGCAAGCCAATCACAGAAAGCAAATGTCAATAAATCACATACATGCAACAGGTCACTGGGATGGCACAATTGCCTGTATGTTCATTCTCCTTACTAGAGGAGAAGGAGAATGGAACAATTCAGACACCATTTTGCACAAATTATTCCTTTTAGGTTTTTTACATTAGACTGGAATTACTTTACAGAATACCGTGATTCCACCATGGTTCTATGCCACCCAATATTTGCTTTGACCAAAAATGGATCCGTGTATCTGCATTTCAGAGATAAAGCGAAGTGGGACCGACATGGAAATGAAGATCTCCTCTGCAGTGATACCACCTATGTAATGTATCCTTACAGATGTGTTTGAGCATTGAACAATGGACTACTATTACAAACCCAGGCTCAAACATGCTTTTCAGCGATCCATGTGGAGAATGGGTAATTTTAAGGTAATGTTTCAAGCATTTCGAGGCATCAGATTTGTTCGTTTTTACTTTGTACTACAATGTGTCATATTTGTTGTATTGATGGTAGTTAGATATGTTTTGAAGAATGTTAAGAGATTACTTCAAATCTTCTTATTTCAATCTTTCAATATCTATTATGATCTCTACATTTATTTTTGTGCTTTGTTTGAATTACTGGATTGTGTAACTGTGTTTTGGTCTGTAGCCGAGTCTGTATTTGTATGATAGTGGCAATTATCTTTATCTTAGTTAATTCAAGTTCAAGTTAACAAGGAATAAGAAAATATGATTTTTGTTTATATGATTTTTTTTATATTGCTGTAAATTAATGTAGATTGTACAATCTTTTTTAAAACTGGTAGTAGTATTCCTGGAATCATAAGTGGCAGTTATGATTCAAAACCCAATGTTTATCTACAAGATCTGAATTCTTAGAAAGGTAAAAGACCATCTTGTTTTGACAGAGGCAAACCTATTGGTGATTAATGGCCAACTGTCACATGGAACACGAGGGGAGGGTCTAAAGGCCCCTACAGAGAAAGTGGTTATATACATGAACATGCCCAGAGATTACAGCCAGTTATCTGTGAGTATGTCAGTTGCTCATTTTTTTAACATGACCACGATGCCTGACATGAGCACATGATCGCTTTGAGTCATCTTACATTTTAAAATGACTTTAAAGCATTTGGAAACGGTTAGGGATCAACTGAGTAAAGAGTGCCATGGAAAAGCTAGAAGAAAGCAAATATTCATTGAGCAGAAGGAAAGGAGGTGAGTAAAAAAACTAAACCTAGTCAATGACAGTCACATGCAGATACAATGTTTTTTATGCAAAACAAATATTGAATGTAGACACATTTAATTGACTGCATTTACAATTCATTTTTAATGATTTTTAAATTGTGCCAATGAATTCATGAGAACTATTCTGAGGATATGGGACAAAACAAGCATACTAAAACAAATTATATTTCATTTTTAACAAATTTTAATTAGAAGAAAAACATAAAATGCTGAAATTGGGAAGGAAATGGGTATTTTAAAAGAATTAAATGTAGTTATTGTCTTTCTGGTGCCATGCAAAATCATTCCTATAATGTCTTTTACATAGTGTGTTTGCAAATTACTAAAATATTCAGATAATTCCCAAACAGCAAATCGGCCATTTGCAAAAAGGCACTATGAAACAGTTATAAAGACATTTTGACAATTATTTGCATACCACCAGATAGTCCATAACTGTATTTAATTCACCAAAAACTAAAGCTAGTCAATGGGAAATGCAAAGATTTTTGTACAAAACAAATATTGTGAGTAGACACTTTATACATCCTGAGTCTGCTATGTGGAAAGATACAGCAAATAATTAAATGAATAATAATTTTTTTGAAATATCATTAATTGCTTATTACATTGAAGCTGAATTAACAATGAATGATTTTTGCGAATAGTGGCAGTACATTCTTCAGAACTAACCCGTGAAACTGGGACCAAATGCACATATTAAAACTATTTCAATTTTGTTTTTAACTAATTTGTCTGGTAGACAACAATGGTTAAAAAGGAAGGGAAACAAGCATTATAAGTCAAATATATAGAAATCCTTCTGTTAGTGTGCCTTTTTCATAGTGCCTTTTTGCAAATGTGTAAAATATTCAGCTAATACTCAAACAACAAACCAGCAATTTGCAAAAAGGCATGCAAAAGTAATGATACAGAGGAATTTTGACAATTATTTGCATGCCACCAGTCCATAAATATATTTACCTAAAAGTGCCTATTTACCTAAAAGTCCCTTCCATTTTAAGCAAATTTGTTACGCTTGTTAAAATAAATAAAGTATAAAATAATAAATGCTGGGTTAAAAAGGGACAAACCCAGCGGTTGGGTTGTTCTGACCCAGCGGTTGGATTCAAAACAACCCAACCGCTGAGTCAACAGAAAATTGGCACTAGCAATGCCAAGGTCATAGGTTAAATTCCCAGGAAGGTTTATTGTTATTTAATTTTTTTTTTTTTAATTTAAAATTTTCACTTTGTACCTTTGTAGTGGAGTGGAGCACTCCGATTTGTCATATTTGCTGAAGCAGACAGAACAACTTCTGAAACCATGTGAATCCCAGCCTGCCCCTTTTCCACTGACTGCAGCCCAGCAAGACAATAGCAGCCTGAAAACAAAATCAAATGAGCACAATATTCCTACAACACCTCTAAACCAAAGAGGTAAAATTAACATGTGAAAATATCACAGGGAATGATGTTTATCATGATAATGAATTCTGTTTTTGCTCAGAGGGTGACATACAGTAAGTTCAGGACAGTACAGAGATCACACATAACACAGAAGAGTGCTGCAATTTCAATTGTGTGAGTACCCTTTCGAAATTTACTGTGGTATCAGATGTTTATGCCATAGTACTACGATATATACCATGGGACTGAATTATTACTGTACTCATAGACCAAACATATTTACACTACACTTCAAAAATGTGGGGTCATAAGATGTTGCAAAAAGGCTTTTTTTTTATTTGATCAAAAATACAGCAATATTGTAAAATATTAGCATTTAAAATAACTTTTCTTTTTTAATATATTTTATATAATTTTATACATAAAATGTCATTTATTCATTTGATGTTGAGCAGCCATTACTTCAGTCTTTAGTGTCACATTATCCTTCAGAAATCATTCTAATATGCTGATTTAGTGCTCAAGAAACATTTATTATTATAAATTTTTAAAACAGTCAGTCAGTAACACTTACTGGCCCCAAATTTGTGAATTTTAGTATACATGGTTGTGAACAACCTTCCTGTGTGCTGTGCTTTACTGTAGGATCTGTGCGAATTAGACTTGGACAGTCTGGCTCCATACATTCCAATGCACGGATAGGACTTCCTGCTAACTCCCATTTTAGAGGAGACAGACGACAGCACCGAACTAAACATGTGTGGACTATCATTCAATAGTCCACATCAAAAACTGGATCCTCAGTTGCAAAAGTCTTTCTGCCTGAAAAGGGCCTTACACATACCCAACAAAGTGTCAGTCATTATTTTCTAACAAACAGGTGTGTCTAATAAGAAAGGTCATTTCATATTGTACACTAATGCTTCTTTATGCATTTTGGAAACCACTAATAAACACTACTACATTTATTTTGCTACAGGATCAGCGATGCTAACCTGATATCAACACAGCATTGGAATGAGAGCCAAAATCTTGTGAACAGAATTTCGAAGGTACTGTGCTTATGTGCATACAAATGTAACCTTTATATTACCGTTTCTTCTAGTCCTCCGATGTACAGCCTGTTGATTCTGCTTAGACTTCATGGAACTATTCCCAAAAATGTACAAAATAACCAGCAATACTGTCAAAAATGATAAATATTTTGAATATTTTGAGTTTAAGCAGCCCTGAAAATACATTCAAACAAAGTTGTCATTAAGTAACTGGACTCATTTCTTCTTCCAGGTTTATAATTATAATTATAAACAGCATAATTATCAGTTCTTCTCTGCTGAAAGGGAGACAATTCACAGGAGCGAGGATGCGCTGAAAGTTCTACAACATCCCAACAGCTGGATCTTCAGTAAGAAATCGGTCCCAGATTTCATCAAAATATATTTTCTTAATTTACATAACACATTTTACATTTTTGGCATTTCCACTAGATGGATCATCACCAAGGCCATATGGCGGAGACCCAGATATACTTGGAATAAAGTTCAAATCACTTCCAGAGAATCCTAAGCGTTATCCTCAGAACAGAAGACACCGTGCTGATGTAAAAGCACTCCCAGCACCTTTGACTCTGCCTGTGTTGAGCGGGTGGGAGTGTGAGGTCAATGCATCTCTTGACCCCACATTATATTTGCTCCAAGGGACAGAAATTATAGCTGTTCTGGACCAAGTGGCCTCAAGAGTGCCTTGGTGCTGATACAAAACAAAACACAACACTAACAATGTGCATTTGAATACAATGTATCACTTACATACACTCGGTCATTAATGCATCTTTATAACAACAACACCTGCAAGCATTTCTTTAGAGTACATTAACATTACTAAAACCTGTGGGATTGTTGTAAAGTCTGTTTTTATTCATCTAATATTGGGCTTTGCATTCAAACCTCTCCTTTCTGAGGTTACAGTGTTCTATTCACACCAATGGCGATATCTATAGTCATAATTATTCTATGAGAATATGGATGTTCATAGCGCAACTGTAACGATAACGACAAAGAGAAACAGTACCATTGGAATCACTTTCAGAAGTTTTTTTTTCTCCAACTGATAAACAATAAAAATCAGAAGTCCGTAAAAAGCGTGAGCGTTTAAAGCGGCTGAGAACAAAACTGTGCACACGCTTACAATAAACAGAATATTATTGTCTTCTGGTGTGAATGCTAATATTATAGTTATAATTCTTGGTGTGAACAGGTGAACTTTAGTAGTAATTATGGTGTTGCATCTTCTACCATTGCAGTGTTGTATTTCAACATATTCTAGAAACTTTTATGAATATTTAAGGATTTATTGTTTGCACTCTCACAAATGTATGTCTCAATTCACAATTTCTCATGCCTTTATTATGTTGTGCATTGTTTTTTAATATGACCGTCAGAGTGTGTTTGGCACTCTTAGTTGTTTCCTTCATATCTTGTTTCTATTTTATCAAATGGTATATTATCAATATACCTAATAGTGCATAGTAGTTTCATGCTGATTTAATAAAGTTTTGCACATTAAGAAATAAATGGTGTTCTTGCAAAGCGTCATCTGAATGGTGTGCACTCGTGCGATTAAAAGACTGTACTCGCAGTTTTCCACAATAAGTGTTTTAATTATACATGGTGCAGGTCACACTCCCTCAAATGAAATGACCACTGTCTAAAACTCACTAGTATCAGAGTAAATTGCGTAAAACTCAGAGGAGATTCAGATCCACATTAGATGGCGATGCAGTTGTGATACTGGAACTTAAGTTACTGGTAAGCGAAAAACAGTGGAGCAAACGCCAGCTAAAGAACTCCTGAATGTACCTAATGTCTAATGCATCTTTTAAGCATATTCCTATTGTCATGTGTAATCAGTACTAACATCTACAAAACAAACCCAAATGCTTGCAATAATACATCAAAAAATATTAGATCAGTTTCATCGCAAGTTTTTTAATGAGAAAAAAAAAACAAAGAATACAGTGTTCTACAGAAAATTCTATGAATTAATCAAATCAAATCAAGGGGTGTGAATTTACACAAAACAGGGTTTGTATATACACACATCACTGGTTGCGACTATTCATTTTTAAAAGATGGCTAAAATGAGTAGATTTTGTTTGAAAGACCAGTTGTTTGGTCCCAGTATCCAGATTTATTTTGTAATGGTATTCCTGTGAAAAGAAGATTAGAAAACAATTAACAAATAGAACGCAGATCGAGCATAATGGCTGAAACGGAAATCCTGAATAAATACTAACGCATTCATGCTCTTCCCACTGCCACTCAGCACAATGTAAGGAGTTTTCTGGGACTTCTGCTTTTCCTGCAGAAGAGCAACGGTGCCCAGAGGAGTGTCACTGCTGCTCATCTTTTTCAGCAGCTGCAGGAAAACAAACATGCGAGAAGTCAGATGACTTCTATGACCCTAACAGAATCATGAATTATGATTTTAATATGTTAGTTAATGGTGCTTCATGTTTAATATGCTTGGCGATCTAAAAAAAAAATAAAAATACCGCTTCTTCCTCAAGCTTTTTCATCCTCCGCTCAGTCTTCATCTTGCCAGAGCCCTTCCCATGGAAACGATGGGACAGCTGTCTGAAAGCCTGGAGGACGACAAATGAGGCTGAGCACTCATATAGACATTTTAGAAGGAGGAAGTAGTGATTTATCTAATGATGTGACTGGTTGAGAACCACATGTGCACGGACCTCTTTAGGGGTGAGCTTGCGACCAGACTCATCAACATACTCAATCTTGATTTCTGGCTTGTAGTTATCCTTTTCTTTGAAATCCTGAGTGAAGCCTCTGTATTCCTCCCTCCTGCTGTACTTGTCATCAATATTCCTGCAGTGGAAAGAAAAGGGAATGGGAACATCTCAGCTTTTTTAAAATAAGAAACAACCACTGGAGAAAGTTTTGCAACATCTATTTACATCTTGTCTTCGATGCAGTAGTTATCATTTGGCAGAGCTCCTTTTGAGGCTTTGACACGAGCCACCTTCAGCATCTGTGTGTCCAGCAGTCCTGAAAGAGTTAAGTGAATGTTTTTTTAATAAATTAGACACTGTTACCCATTCTATTCAGTTCAAAATCAGATTTGGTTGATATCTCACCTTTGTTTTTGCACAGAAGTAGAGCGGCAGCGAGACCAGAGTTCACAATGGGCTCTTCATCCAGAATAGTAGTGGAGGTCGTTGAGAACTATAACAGAAAACAGAAAAATCGTGTTGAAGTGACGGTTTCCCAGTCCAACTGAATTGCTGTCAGTGAGGTGAGCAGAAGACTCACATCTGCCTGGGTTTTCTCTTCATCCAGGTTGACGGTGCTCCAGCCCACGTTGTCATCCATATCAGAGTCTGACTGTCCGCCTCCTTCTTTCTCATCATCCTTTTCAAAGTCCTGTATGACCCAAACAAAACAGACATTTAATATCCACAAGTGAAACTATATATCTTAAGTGTAGTGCAGCAGCGAGACCAGAGTTCACAATGTGCTCTTCATCCAGAATAGTAGTGGAGGCCGTTGAGAACTAGAACAGAACAGGGTCGGGATGCTGCATACCATAATATCCTCTTGGTCCTCTCGGTTTCCTGATAGCCCGTAGGTGGGGATGTCTCCAAGAGTGCGACAAAATTCAGAGGTTGCATTAAAGACAATGTTGTTCTTTTTGTCTGGGTCATTGTCATCATCTTCCGCCTTCACCAATTGATTCATGTGCTCAGCCACCTGAAAAACATCAATGCAAGGAAAGATACAGAAGAAACAGTTGAATAAACATTATTTAAACATTATTATTTGTAATTATTAAAGGGGTCATATGATGCGATTTAAATTTTTCCTTTCTCTTTGGAGTGTTACAAGCTCTTGGTGCATAAAGAAGATCTGTAAAGTTGCAAAGACTAAAGTCTCAAATCCAAAGAGATATTCGCCGGATCGGCTTTCACCGTGGACCAAGCGGAGTCCAGCCCGGGGTCGTCACATGTGGTTGCCGCAAGCCCCGCAGGCCGCTCCTTCGTTGAGCCCGCCGCATGACGCTGTTTCGTTGTGAAAGCAAAACTACTTTGTTTGGCCTTCCAAAAGAGGACACGACTAGAAATCTGTGGTTAAGTTGTATTTACAACACTGTTCCAGAACACTTCAACCCAAATATTAAGATGTGTGCAGCACATTTTATGGACGACTGTTTCCTGATCCTGGTAGAGTAGACTACAATGCCGGCTGTTCTGACTCACAGTCTGTAAGTACGTTTTTTATATTTAAAGAATTTGCCACTAACGATTCAAATGTGAGTTTTGAGCAGTGTAGAGTAGCACGTGTTGTTTGTCATTTCTCCGATCACAAATGCAGACATGGTTTTATGTTTAGTCATTATAATCCGTAATTACGTCCCCACTGGATGCAACAAATGCCTCGTTTATAATGGGTTTTAATGTTTTGTCTCGTCGCTCCGGCCGGACACGGCATCACAGTATGGTAAGGGGCGTAACATTTCCGTCACACGCTTGAGGTATTCGGCCAATCACAACTCACTGGATAGCTGGCCAATCACAGC